CAGCCCCGTGCTCGTGTCGCGCTTTGTCACACCAGACCCTCCTTTGGCACCACCGCCTTGGTCACCCCTCGGTGCAGCGCCTTCGCAGCATGCACCGCCGTGTCCTTGTCTCTGGTCTTCCCAGGGTTCTCCCTCCCCTCCCACCCTCGCCCGCTCCTCCCTGTCTTCCCTGTGTCAAGGGGCGGCAGCGCGCCACTCCTCACTCCTCCTCGTTCCCTCCCACAGAGGCTCCCCTGCAGACTCTCCACCTGGACGTGTGGGGCCCAGCCCACGTCCGTGGACAGGGCCACGAGCGGTACTTCCTGCTGGTCGTCGACGACTACACGCGTTACACCACGGTCTTCCCCTTGCGGCGCAAGGGGGAGGTCCCTGGTGTTTTGATCCCTTGGATCCGCGCTGCCCGTCTCCAGCTCCGCGAGCGGTTCGGGACGGAGTTTCCCGTCCTGCGTCTGCACTCTGACGGAGGTGGTGAGTTCTCCTCAGACCTCTTGGCAGCCTTCTGTGCGGAGCACGGCATCACCCAGTCGTTCACGCTTCCGGCCTCTCCGCAGCAGAATGGGGTTGCTGAGCGCCGCATTGGCTTAGTCATGGAGGTCGCTCGTACCTCCATGATCCATGCGGCTGCCCCCCATTTTCTGTGGCCATTTGCGGTCCGGTACGCTGCGCATCAGCTCAACCTCTGGCCCCGTGTCTCCTTACCGGAGACCTCGCCCACGCTGCTGTGGACGGGGAAGGTTGGCGATGCGTCGCGTTTCCGGGTCTGGGGTGCTCGTGCCTTTGTCCGCGATACCACCGCGGACAAGCTCTCCGCCCGCGCTGTTCCCTGTGTCTTCCTTGGCTTTGTCCCTGACGCGCCTGGTTGGCAGTTTTACCACCCCACCTCGCGCCGTGTCTTCCCCTCTCAGGACGTCACGTTCGACGAGTCGGTTCCCTTTTACCGTCTCTTCCCCTACCACACTGCCCCTCTCCCCCCTCCGCCGCTCTTTCTCGCTCCAGGTGCTCCCCAGGTAGACCCCCTCCCCGCTCCCGGTCCTGCTCCTTCAGGTGTGTCTCAAGTAGACCCTCCTCCCTTGACTGCGCCGGTTGAGGTCACTGGTGACTCAGGTCCTGCTGCGGGTGGTCCTGCTCGGGGTACTACTTCTGGGGGTGCTGAGCCTGGGGGTGCTGAGCCTGGGGGTGCGGAGCCTGGGGGTGCTGAGCTTGGGGGTGCGGAGCTTGGGGGTGCTGAGCCTGGGGGTGCGGAGCCTGGAGGTGCTGAGCCTGAGTGTGAGGAGTCTGGGGGTGCTGAGCTTGGGGGTACTGAGTCTGGGGGTGCTGCACCTGGGGGCGCTGAGGCGTCTGGTGAGCAGTCTCCCTGGAGCGGCCGTCTCCGTAGTCGCTCCGCTGGTGCCTCGTCGCTGCTCTCTCGTCGTCTACTCCCTCTCTCCCCACAGCAGCTGCGTGAGTGGTACGTTGGCCGTCAGGGTCGCGCTGCTGGAGCTAGGGGCCCTGCTGCTGGAGGCGCTGGAGCTTGTGACTCTGCTACTGGAGTTGTTTCTGCTGGAGGTTCTGGAGCTGCTGGAGGTGCTGGCGCTGGTGGCGCTGGAGCTGGAGGTTCTGGAGCTGCTGAGGGTGCTGGCGCTAGACGTTCTGGAGCTGCTACGGGTGCTGACGCTCGAGGTTCTGGGGCTGCTGCGGGTGCTGGCGCTGAGGGTTCTGAGTCTGCTGTTGCGCGGTCTCCTTGGAGTAGCCGCCTTCGTCCGCGTGTGCCGCTCACGTCACAGCAGCTCCACGACTGGTACGGTCGCCGTCAGGGTCGCGCTTCTGGAGCTCGGGGTTCTGCCACTGGAGGTGCTGCTGCTGACGTTGCTGGAGCTGGGAGTGCTACTCGTCCTTTGTCTGCTGGTGGTGCTGGAGTTGTTGGCCCCGGAGGTGCTCGTACTGGAGGTACTGGAGCTGCTGGGGCTGGAGGTGCTGAGCCTGCGGGTGCTACTGCTGGAGACACTGCGGCTGGAGACCCTGGGTCTGGGGGTGCTGCTGCTGGTGGAGCTGGTCCTGGAGGTACTGGCGCTGGGGGTGCTGGAGCTGCTGGAGGTACTGGAGCTGCTGGTGCTGGTGGCACTGCACCCCCGCGACTGTTCTTCGCTCCACCGTCTCCGTCGTCTCAGCCACCGCCTGACACTGTACTTAGTCAGGTTCTCAGCCTCCCGTCTTCTACTGGTCTTTCGTTACAGCCTGGCTCACCGCTGCCTGCTCCTTCCCCTTACACTGAGCAGGCAGGAGGTCTTGCTGAGCGTCGTGAGCCTGCGTCGCGTCCTGTCTCGCTTGTTCGTTCTGGTCGTACCAGTCGTCGTGTTCCTCGTCCGCGTTCGCCGGCTGTCCCCAGCGCGCACCTCGTCGTCCGTCGTCCTTTCTCTGCTCTGCAGTCTGTTCCTCTGCCGTCTCCTCCTGCGTCCCTGACGTTGCAGACCCTGAGTCTGACCGGTTTCGTGCTGAGCACCCTACTGTCACGCGTCTGTTAGCCACTGTTGTCACCGACCCGTCGTTTGAGTCTGCTGCTGCGTCTGCCTTGGTCGCTGAGCTCGTCAACTTTGCTACTGCCTGTCGTCTAGACTACGCTGCCAGTCTAGTTGCTGAGTCTGAGTGTGTCTGTCCTCCGTCCGTCGAGGGTGAGTGTGCTCTTGGCACGGACGTCCTTGAGGACAGACAGGAGGACCTTGAGTGTCTTGCGGCCGCTGCGCCTCATCTCGATTGTGGGCATGCTGCTTGCCCCTGAGGGAGACCCGGATGCTATAGACATCCCGACCCCGCGCTCTTACGCTGAGGCGATCGCGGGCCCCTACTCCTCTACGTGGCAGACAACCATGGACGCAGAGATGGCATCCTGGAAGTCCACAGGCACTTACGTCGATGAGGTTCCCCCTCCAGGGGCGAACATCGTTGATGGCATGTGGATTTTCAGGGTGAAGCGGCCGCCGGGTTCTCCGCCTGTCTTCAAGGCTCGTTACGTTGCTCGAGGCTTCAGTCAGCAAGAGGGAGTCGACTTCTTCCAGACCTTCTCCCCCACCCCGAAGATGACTACTCTTCGGGTGCTGCTGCACGTTGCCGCTTAGCGTGACTACGAGCTTCACTCTCTGGACTTCAGCACAGCCTTCTTACAGGGCAGCCTGCACGAGGAGATCTGGCTGCGCCGCCCACCTGGCTTCACTGGGTCGTTCCCGCCTGGTACCCAGTGGAGCCTCCGGCGGCCAGTCTACGGTCTCCACCAGGCGCCTCGTGAGTGGCACGACACACTGAGGACGACACTTGCGGCTCTTGGGTTTGCTCCTTCGACTGCTGACCCGTCGTTGTTTCTGCGCACCGACACTTCGCTGCCGCCGTTCTACATCCTCGTGTACGTCGACGACTTGGTCTTTGCCACTGCTGACACTGAGGCTCTCGCCCTGGTGAAGTCGGAGCTACAGAAGAGACACACGTGCACAGACCTGGGTGAGCTGCGCAGCTACCTTGGCTTGCAGATCACCCAGGACAGAGCACGCCGCACCATCACTCTGACTCAGTCACACATGGTGCAGCAGGTCCTTCAGCGCTTCGGCTTCGCCTGGTCCTCATCACAGTCCACTCCTCTAGCTACAGGTCACTCGCTCTCAGCTCCACCTTCGGACGAGTCCGTAGAGCCGAGTGGTCCTTACCCAGAGTTAGTGGGCTGCCTCATGTACCTGATGACCTGCACTCGTCCTGACCTTGCGTACCCTCTTGGCCTTCTGGCCCGTTACGTGGCTCCTGGTCGACACCGAAAGGTGCACTGGGATGCTGCGAAGAGGGTACTGCGCTACTTGTGCAGTACATCGGGCATGGGGCTCGTGCTTGGAGGGCAGAGAGACGTGGTTCTCACTGGGCACTCAGATGCTTCTTGGGTTGACGACCAGGCTACACAGCGGTCGTCACAGGGTTACACTTTTAGCCTTGGCTCCAGTTCTGTTTCTTGGCGTTCTACTCGCTCGTCTTCTGTTCTCAGCTCCAGTTGTGAGGCTGAGATCTACGCCACAGCCATGGCTGCACAGGAGTTACGCTGGCTCACTTACCTGCTGACTGACCTGGGAGAGCGGCCTCGTTCTCCTCCAGTGCTGTACGTCGACAACAAGGCCGCCATTGCCTTGTGCGAGGAGCACAGACTGGAGCACAGAACGAAGCACATCGCTCTGCGTTACTTCCTGGCTCAAGAGCTGCAGTAGCGGGGTCAGCTTCACCTTGCTCACGTGGCCACCGGGGCCAACACTGCTGATATATTCACCAAGGCGCTTTCGTCTGGTGATCATCAGCGCTTTTGTACCCTGTTAGGCCTTGTGCCTACGTTTCCACACTTAATGTAGTCTCTGCCTGTACTTTGATCACTATATATATGCATGCTTGCTCTTGCTAGGTAGAGATCACTGTGCTGTTCTTGTTGCATATATACTTCTGCATGTGAACTGGCTTTTTGGCCCTTTGCTTGTGCTCAAAGTGTGTGGTGACGTTGTGATCCACCCTGAGCTTGCTTTGCTTCTCTAGACTGGTCTTGTGACCCCTTGTTCTCCCCCACTTTGCCTATGGGGGTGTGTCAAACTATATATGTTATACTTGTGTAGGCTGTAGTGGGGTAGCCAATATGGGGTACAACCCCTCTAGGGTTTGCTACTTGTACCCAACCTTCTTTCAATGCAATCATTCTTGCCTAGACATTCTAACATACAGGGGAATTCGAATCGACCTAGCTAGCCATGTACTCTAAGGGGTACATTCCCTTATTCGAGTTCATTCCAACCGTGCGGCGCGTACATTTAAGAAACTGTTCCCGCCAATTTCCTCGTGCCTTCAGCTGCCCGATGCCGTCTGCTCCGACGGTCCAGATCCACCCCAACCGTCTGACGCTTCGAGTCAGTTCTGACTCCTCGTATTCGTTCTCGATACTGCGTGCTTCCTTAGCTGCGGTTAGGAGTGCACAGTAATGTTTCAAACATTACCATTCGTAACACCCCCCTTCACTCCTGGCCGTAGCTCGACTTGACCTGCTTGACCACTCCGCTGAGTTCGGAGCAGTGTTGATACTGCTGGCGTGGCAGTCGCTTCGTGAGGAAGTCCGCTGCCATGTCACCTGTCGGACAATAGGTCAGGTTAACCTTGCCTTTGTCCACTTCGTCCTTGACGAAGAAGTACCGCAGCGCAATGTGTTTGGTGCGGTTGACGAAGCCAGGATTGTTCGCGTTGCGAATCGTGCTCTGGTTGTCGTTGTGGAGGCGAAAGGTGGGCGATGCTGGAATTTTCGCCTCCTGTAGGAGTTCTTGCAAGTTGCTGCGAACTGCTGCCGTTGCTGCGATGAATTCTGCTTCGGCCGACGACAGGGCAACCAGCTCCTGTTTCTGCGAGTTCCACAAGATTGGTCCCGTCGGTTTGAGCCGGAACAGAAAACCAGTCCTGGACCGTCGATTGTCAGGATCTGCTGCGTGATCGGCGTCCACGTAGCCGATGAGGTTAAATGATGGGGTGGGCACTGTTGAGTAGCACAGCCCGATCTTAGGCGTTGAGATGAAGAACTGCAAGGCGCGCTGTAGGTCCAGAAGATTCTCAGCCGTTGGTTTGCGGGAGTACTGAGCCAGTTGGCTCGCGATGTAGGAAAGGTCGGGCCTGCAGGTGACAGAGGCGAAGAGAAGGCATCCCAGCTGCTGCTGGTAAGTTTGGATGCCAGCGGGGGATAGGCCTTTGTTGTCAGGTTTGTGGTTCGGTCCAGGGGTTCGGTAGGGAGTGGAGAGTGGTGCAGGGGAGATGTTGAAGCACTTTCCAAGCTCCTCTACATTCTTGGCCGCTGAGAGATGAATGGCTTCTGGCGCGTAGGAGATGTTCATGCCTAAGAACTGCTTCACCTCGTAGTTGCAGGTGATATCGACGCGCCCCGCCAGACTCCTTTCGAAGTGCTTCAGTAGTTCGTTGCTCGAACCTGTGTAAAGCACATGGTCAACGTAGACCGTGAGCAGGATGTATTCGCCCATGAAATATCGGCGGTACATCCCAGGATCGTGCGGCATCTGCTTGAACCCGATTTCAAGCAGGATGTTGTGCAAATACATGCTGCTGCCAGAGCCTTGGTGCTTGCTTTATCCCGTAGAGGGACTTGCGCAGCTGGCATACGCGTGAATCCCCTTCACCGTATGTATGCGGCTGCTCCACGTAAATCACGACATCTACTAACGCGTACAGAAACGCGTTCTTCACGTCGATTTGGCGCTGGGGCAGGTGTGTAGCAGCTGCGGTGGCGAGCAGGATTCGAACGGAGGTGTGGCGACTGACTGGCGCAAACGTCTGATCGAAGTCAATGCCGTGCCTCTGGTCGTAGCCGCGCACCACCCACCGCGCTTTGAAGCGCTCAATCGTTCTGTCAGCTGCGGTCTTCACGCGGAAGACCCATTTCCCCGAGAGGATCCTTGCGCCTTTGATTGCTGCCCGGTCGACTAATACCCAGGTGTCGCGGGATTCGAGTGCCTTAATCTCTCCGTCCATCGCCTCGCGCCATTCCTTGCTGTGTGGTCCAGTGAGAGCTTGGCGCGGGTTTCGTGGTTCGCTGGCACGTGGCGCCTTAGAGGTTGCGGTGTGCAGCCCAAGCAGCTGCAGCCCAGAGACGGTGCTGTCGTGGCGATGCTGCGGGATGACTTCCTGTACGTCGTCGTCATCGCTCTCTGGCTCAGGTGGTGCTGGTGGCGCTGCGCCTCTGCCGCTTCCGCCTGTTCCGCCCATTCCTCCTTCCGAGGAATCGTCGTCGTCGTCGTCGCTGCTGTGGCGATCTCCCCATGTGAACTCGCCCCTGGTGTCCTGTTCCAGGATTGCTGCAGCGGCTTCGTCCTCGGGCGTTGCGTAGCTGTGCCCGTCGTTCGCGTAGACGCGGTTGCTCGTCGTGGCGGAACTGCTCAAGGAAGAGGCGTTTGTAAAAGATGGCGTCGTGGGCATGGGTGGTCTTCTGGCTGAGCAGGTCCAGCACGATCCATGCCTTGTGCTCGTGGCTGATGCCGAGGTGAATGCCCCATCGCGCGCGGCTGGCGAATGTGCTGATGGTTGACGTCAGCGGGCGGTATTGCACCATGCACCCCCACACGCGGAGCATGGATGTGTCCCCCTTAGTCCCGGTCCACTTGACGTGCGGGGACAAGTTTCCGGTGATGGCGGTGGTTGATAGCAGGTTGTGCACCCGCACGGCGTGGTGCATCGCGTAGGTCCAGTAGATCGGCGGCAGCTTCGACTGCTTCATCAGCGCCCGCACCTTCGTCATGAGCGTGCGGTTCGTCCGCTCAGCTACGCCCTGCTGCTGGTGCGCGTAGGGGAGAGAAATATGGTGCTCGATCCTTTTTTGCACCAGGTAATCCTGCATGTCCTTACTCCTGAATTCCGCTGCGCCGTCAGATTGCCATATTTTCAGCTTCTCTCCGGACTGCCGCTGCGCGTGCGCGAGCCAGAGGCGAAATACCTCGGAAGCTCTGCTGCGCGATTCCACGTTCACAACCCACACATAGCGCGTTCCGGCATCAACGAAGGTGAGCGTCTACATTTCGTCGTTGACTCCGCAGTGCCCCACGTTCAGGAAGTCACTGTATACCTTGTGCAACTTGGGGTAGCGATTTGTTCCAGGTTCGAGTAGCGGGAACGGTTGGTGGCTCAGCGCAGCTTCGGGGCAGATGGTGCAGTTGCGCGGATGTGTCGCGCCTCTCACTTCGGAGCCATCTGGGCGCAGGAGCGCTCCAGGAGCGAAGACGCCTGCGTCGATGCAGTTTTTCAGTGTCGCGCGGGAAGGGTGGCCGAGGCGCTGGTGCCAGAGCGCATCGTCGGCGCGGAACCCGGAGGTGCGCATGTAGCGCGCGCGAGCTTCTTCGGGGTCTTCGTCAGGTACTAGGGCAGGTTCTGGTGCTGCTTCTTCTGCTGCGTCATCTTCGTCGGTGCGAGTGGTGAGCATGAGCGCCAAGAACTCTCTGTCGCGGATTTCGGAGAGGGGGATGTTGGTCCCGGGAATAGTTTTGACGACGAAGGTGGGTTCGCGTGGTTCGGGAGCAGGTCTGTAGACGGTGCGTCGCGGGGTCGTCGGCTCGTTGCCCCAGGCGATGGTGTCCCAGGGGTCGCGATGCAGCGGGATGTCAGGAGGAGGTAATGCGGGTGGAGCACGACGCGGGGGACGACCAAGGGGAACAACTGCAGGCATTGCCTCAGCTTCTTCTTCTCCCCCCTTTTGTTCTTCGCGGGAAGCCTCCCAGCCTCCGGCAGAAGTGCCCCAGCCGCTGGTTGCGCCGCCAGATGCAGCGCCCCATCCGCCGATTGCGGTTGCCCAGGTTCCCCCGGTGTTATTCCATCCACTGGTGTCAGCCGTTCCCCATCCGCCAGTGCTGCCCCATCCCCCTTCATTGGAGGCGCTTTCTTCCGCTTCAACTCCCCATGCGCCGCAGGCGAATGTCCCGCGCGCTTCGGCAAGGCTTTGTCGGCGAAGCTCCTCAGCTTCGCGGCGCGCCAGTTCTTCTTCATGTTGCATGGTGAGGTTCTTTGTGGGATCGCGCCAGTGGGGGTAAACTTTCAGGAATTCTTCGAGAGAGTAAGGGCGCGCAACTTCCGATCTGCTTGCGAGGGAAGGCCCTCGATTCATAGTGCAGCAGAATGTCGCGCGTCGCGCGATCTGTGCTGAGTTCGACGCCGCAGTCCATGAGCTGTGCGGCGGAAAGCAGGTTGAAGCGCAGGTTCTGGACGATCAGCACATCATTGAGCGTGATGTGCGTGCGGCTTCCGCGTGCCTTGAGCACGACGATGCCTTGCGCGTTTGCGCATAGGCGAGTGTTGTTAGCCACGGTGACGTAGGTGACTGTGGGGGTGGCGACGGCGTTGGATATGTAACGCTCCGAGCCTACCATGTGCTGGCCGCAGCAGCTGTCCAGGTACCAGATGTTGTAGCGCTTTCTGTCATCACGTGCGAGCAGCGCCAATCGCGGCGTGACGATGTGCGGAGTGTCGAACTTCAGAAATTGTTTGTGCGAGAGCCAATCGAGTGGCGCCTCCTGCATATCAGGTACGTGCGGGGGGCTTTCAAGCAGCGGGACTGGAAGGTTCCAGTCCTGGTCGTCGTCGTCGGTGAAGTCGTGGCGCGGACTGAATGGGTTGTTGTTGGTAAACGCGCCAACGGGATGCGGTGCTGGCTCAGGTGATGGTGAGCGCACGCGGCGACGATGCGACGCGCCCGTCATGGCCATGTTGCTCATGACATTGTGTACTGGGGCAGTCAGTGATGGCTGCTGCTGCTGATGCTGAACTGCTGGGTTCAGGTTGCGCGTGGGGGGTTGGTACCCCTGGGCTGGATGCACGTCGCCTCGTGCGTCTTGTCGGCCGGACCAGTTGCTCAAATTGGTCTGGCGAGGGCGGGATCGGTACTTGCATCGATCCGCCAAATGCCCGAAGTTTCTGGCGCCACGGCCGTCGCTCTTCGTTGTTGTCGGCGTAGAAGGCGAGCCGTTCACGTTCTCGTCGCGGCGCTGGTCGCTGCTGATCCATATCCCGTTGTTCGACGAGAAGGGCGGCGCAAAGGGCGGCCTCCGAGATGACCCCCTGCTGTCGGAGAAGCGCCTTGCAGGGCCGCCACTCTGGGCCGAGCCCTTGAAGCACGATGTTGACAAAAATCTCCTCTGATATCGAGCTTCCCAACTTCGCGATTTGATCGCGAAGGCTCCGACAGCGATTAAGGTAGTTGTTGACCTTCTCCCCTGGGGCCATTTTTGTCTCCAGTAGCTGCTGGAGCAGCCGGCTCGAAGAGACGGAGTCCTTCGGCTGGTACACGCCGTTCAGGTGGCGCCAGGCGTCGAGGGCTGGAGCAGACGACGTTTTGTACGAGCGAATGCTCAACTGCTCCGCCGGCGACATATTGCGTAGGTCACCGTACGCCATCAGAGACTCGTTGTAGTATCTTGCCCTGGCGTCGTCGGTGTCTTCAGCAGGCTCCGCGTAACTCCCGTCGAAGTAGTGAAAATTTTGAGCGTTCTGCAGCAGGAGCTCCAGCTCGAAGCTCCAGGTATAGAAGTCTCTGCCGTCAAAGTACACATTTGTCTTTATTTTTGATATGCTGAGAAACCTTGATTGCGCAGAGAGAATTGCCTCTTCACTGGGACGGGGAGTCTTGGGGGTTGAACCATTTGTGTCGGAGGAGAAAGTGTGCGGGGCGGCGTTCTGGCCGTTTGGGGCCGGTTGAGAAGGTTGCGAGGAGGTTCCCGCGTCGCTGTTCCACAATGTTTGGAGCCCTTGCTCCAGGCTGGTGAGTCGCTGAAGCAGTTGTGCGAGGACTTCGGTGCCGATCGTCGTCGTTTCCTCGCTTGTCGCAGCCGGGTTGGGTTGCGCTTCAGCCGTCAGATTCGTCTGACCACCAGATCCTCCGGCCATTCTCACACGCGATCGTGTGCCGGACGCCACTTTCCGAATGTCGAGGATTTCGGGGGTGGCTGTGCGAAGGATTCCTGAGTCGCTCTCATACCATGTTACGATCAGAAGGGGATCGCTCCCAGGATCTCCTCAGGAAGGTTCGCACACAGCTAGGTAGTTAGTGGTGGGCCTTTGATCTCAATAGCAGAGTAGATGTAAAATGCTTGAGATAAATAAAAACATGCAAATACAGAGGTATAAGTAGGAGTACAGGGGAATTCGAATCGACCTAGCTAGCCATGTACTTATTCGAGTTCATTCCAACCGTGCGGGGCGTACAGTTAAGAAACTGTTCCCGCCAATTTCCTCGTGCCTTCAGCTGCCCGATGCCGTCTGCTCCGACGGTCCAGATCCACCCCAACCGTTTGACGCTTCAAATCAGTTCTGACTCCTCGTATTCGTTCTCGATACTGCGTGCTTGAGCTGCGGTTAGGAGTGCACAATAATGTTTCAAACATTACCATTCGTAACAGGTACTTCGCCACCCTCACAGCAGCCGTCCAGTGAACAGGACGGTGTCTCCCTGGCGCAACAAAGCGAGCAAGGATGCTGAGAGGGAAGGCGAGGTCCGGGCGAGTACAAGTCATCAGGTACATGAGGCAGCCCACCAGCTCTGCGTAGGGACCACTAGGCTCAAACGGCTCGTCAGGAAAGGGACCAGTGAGTCTGTGGTCAACAGCAAGAGGTGTGCGCTGTACTGTGGAGTGCTGAAGCTCGAACCGCTGAAGGACCTGCTGCACCATGTGTGACCGTGAGAGTGTAATGGTGCGAGTGGCTCTGTCCCTAGTGATCTGCAAGCCAAGGTAGTGGCGCAGCTCACCAAGGTCAGTGCACGTGTGTCTCTTCTGCAGTTCGGACTTCACGTCTGCCAAGGCAACCCTGTCAGCAGTGGCGAAAACGAGGTCGTCGACGTAGACCAGAACAAAGAACGGTGTGGAGCCACGACGAACGAACAACGACAGGTCAGCAGAAGACGGCTAGAAACCAAGGTCAGACAGGGTAGAACGAAGGGTGTCGTGCCACTCACGAGGAGCCTGACGGAGACCGTAGCTGTTGCTCCGGATGTTGCTGCTACTCCTCCAGCCATTGGAGCGCTAGTAGCTGCTGCTCCAACTCTCTCTCCTCTCTCTCCAACTCCAGCTGCTCCTTATGGGCACAGCTAACACGAACCTGGTGCCGAGCCGGGTAGGGGTGGGGGGGAGGAGTAGTGTCCGGGGCCACAGTAGCCCCAGGGCCGCTCTCCAGAGCACGAGACGCGTCACCCCCAGAGCCAACACCACCAACAAGAACACGGCCAGACTCACCAGGGCCCGCAGAGGGTGCACCCGCACCCCCAGTCGTAGTAACCTCAGGGTCAGCTCGACCAACACCAACTCCCGGAAGATAAGAGCCTCCTACAGGCACGGGCTCAGCTCCAACTCCAGCACCCCCAGAACCAGGACCCGGCACAGGAACGCCCTCAACACCAACTCCAACTCCGCTAGAGCCAGCACCCCCAGGGTCCTCGCCACGAACACCGCCCTCCGTAGGGTCTGCAATAGGCTGTGGGGAGGACTGCAGGGAAGGAGACTGCACCTGAGGGGCCACCGAGGGGGGAGGGGTAGCGTGGGAAACACCTCACGGGGCTGGACCAGGGGGGGGGGTGCTGTACCGGGGGAGCAGGAGGGGGAGCGGAAGTCAGGAAGAGAGGGGGAGGAGGAACCGGGAGACGGACGTAGTAGGGGACGGACTCCTCGAAACGGACGTCATGGGAGTCAAAGAACCGGTGAAGGGGAGGGTGGTAAAAGGTGAAGTCAGAGGAGTCCTCTGGAAAACCAAGGAAGATACTTCCTTCCTCTCCTGTTCCTCTCTTTCCCACCCCTCACCTCCAGTGGCTGAGAGGGCCCAGGCGTGGGCCGACACACACCGCGATGACTATAATTGCAGGCTGGAGCATGGCGGCATGGGGGAGGGCGAGGGGCAAAACCTCTCAGGTGCTACCATCTGGGGCTGCAGGTAAGGGCTTGGAGCATGTGAGGCACTTGACTACTTTGCAGAAGTTGGATATGACGGGATGTAGAGTGGCTGACGGTGGGGTGCCGTGGTTGAGCAATCTGCCTTCTCTGACGCACATTAGAACAGATCAAAGGAGCTTGCAGCGATGGGTGAATGCTGCTCTTCCTGGTGTGTTGGTGAGCAGTGACTTTCTGCCTGGTACTGCTCCTGTGGGAGTTGCTGGAGGCAGGTCTGATCAGAAGGTCCGAGTCAGAATATGCTACCCCGACCGTGCTAGCAGCAAGGAAGGACTTGACAGGCGAGTTGCTGAGCAGGAGAATGTGTAGGGTTTACAGGGCGCTCAACAAAATTACAGTGCCAGACAGGTACCCAATACCGATGGCTGAAGAAATCTTCGACAAAGTGGCAGATTGGGTGTTCTTCACGACGCTGGACTTATGGCAGCGTTTCAATCAAATAAAAATCAGAGAAGAGGGTGTGAGGAAGACGGCCTTTCACGGACCGGATGGGCTGTACGAATGGCTGTACATGCCGTTCGGCCTGTGGAACGCCTCAGCAGTGTTCCAGAGGGTCATGGATGCGGTGCTGCGGGGAGTGGAGCTTGCGGAGTGCTATATTGATGACGTGGTCATCTTCAGCACCACAGAGCAGCAGCACTTGGAAGACGTGGAGAGGACACTGAGTGCAATAGGGCTCACCTGTCATCTGAACAAATGCAGATGTGGGGAAAAGACAGTGCAGTACCTGGGGTATGAAGTGCAAGGGGGGCAAATCGGGATTCCGCAGGCGAAGGCGCAGGTGCTGGACAGGATGAGGGAACCAAAGGACAAGTCCGGGCTGCGGGCAGTGCTGGGCTTCCTAAGCTACTACCGACGCTTCGTGCCTAATTTCAGCAAGAGGGCGACGGTGTTGAACGGGATGATGAGGGAAGACCAGGCATGGGAGTGGGGAGAGCTGCATAGGCAGGCGTTGCAAGACCTTATGACAACAGTGAAGCCGACAACAGTATAGCTCATACATTGGGGATGGGCTGGCGGCGGTGTGGGCAGTGGGGCATTTCCGCATATACTTACAGGGCAAGGAGTTCACCTTGGTCACGGACCGTCAGCCGCTCACATGGCTGATGACCACACCAGGGCTGACAGGCAGGAATGCAAGGTGGGCGGTAAAGCTGCAGGAGTGTGACTTTAAGATCAGGCACCGGCCAGGAAAGACTCTGCAGCACGTCGATGGCTTCTCCCGCAACCCGCCACCACTGGAACCGAAATAGACAGCACTGGAGACAGGACGGACAGAGCAGGTACCAGCGCACACATTGATCTTGTTGGCCAGAGAGGTGGAGCAGAATGGCGCCAAGGGGAGCAAGGGGCCAGCTGACATCTGGGAGGATGAGAAAGCATTGGAATGGGTGAAGGGGGAGACCGAGGAGGATGAGACAGTGTCTGAGAGGGTGAGGGCACGAGGACACCACTACAGGTGGTATCAACAACAGCTGCAGATCAAAACCGAAGATGGCTGGAAACTTGTGCCAACACCAAAGGAGCGAGAAGCAGTGTTTAGAAAAGTGCATACCAAGCTGGGGCATTTCGGGCACGAGAGGACCGCACATCTGCTGAAGACGGGCTGGTGGAGGGAAGGGATGCGCAGGCAGGTGAAAGAGTGGGTAGAGGGGTGTGAGGCATGTCAAAGGAGCAAAGCCAATCTGACTCAGGCCAAGGCAGAGCTGCAGTCGCTGCCCATTTGTGGCTTGGGATTTCAATGGTCTCTGGACCTGGCGGGAGAGCTGCCGCTAAGCAGGAGCGGAAACCAGTACATTGTGCTCATGGTCGAGCACGTAAGTAAGTGGCTGGAGGTGAGAGCCATCCCCAGCAAAAGTGCAAGACACGTGGCGGCGGCTTTTAAGGCACAGGTGGTGTGTCGATTTGGAGCGTGCGGAGAAGTGCTTACACATCAGGGAACCGGGATTCAAGGAGAGTTTAAGAAGTTGCTGGAAGAGTCCGGAATCATCCACCGGCGTACCTCCCGCTACCACCTGCAGAGTGACGGACTGACTGAACGCATAGTGCAAACCATCAAGCGGGGGTTGCGGACATATGGGGAACAGAGAAAGAGGGACTGGGACGATGAACTGGACTGGATCACGGCAGGGTACTGGTTCGGGAAGCAGGCTGCGCTGCGGGATCACTCACCGTACAGACTGCTATATGGTCGAGAGCCGATCCTGCTAGTGGGGCCACCACAGGTTTTGACGGATACAGTGACAGCAGGCATAATCAAGAATTGGGTGGCCTTATTGGATGTTCGAGCTCGGTACATGCGGTTCATGATGCCGGCCGCGCTGGAGAATCGGCACACCGCACAGCTGCGGGATGCCAGGAGATATGAGCAGAGGCAACGCAAAGGGGAGGGGAGAGTGCCGAAGGGAGTATGTGAAGGACAAGAAGTATACCTGAAGAGAGCAAAGCAGGACACGCTGGATGTGGGGTTGGTGACCGTGCGGTGGAAGGTTAAGGAAGTGCGCCCCTCAAGGGTGTTGGTCTTGGAGAATGAGAAGGGGGCGTAGTTGAAGGAGCACCAGACGAACACGCCTGTGATCAGAGGGACAGGGCCTCAGCGGAACGGTCCTGTGACCCGCGCTCAAGCCACTCGAGCATAGGCACAGGAGGGGGCAGGGAGTGGCTGAGGCAGCACAAGGACAGACAAGAAGAGGAGACCCAGTTGAAGGAGCAGATGGCAGGCAGAGCTGTTTTACGACAGTTGTCACAGAATATGCACGATTGTGCATATACGGTGCCAGGTTTGTTGCGGTGTAGTTCTGGGTGTAGCAAATACTAAGTATGCACATTTGGGGTGTAGGTAGTTGGGGACAGGGAGAGTGCCGCGAAGTTGTTAGGAGAGCACCGAGGGGGGAATCCAAGGAACCAATGTGAACAAACCAACCCAGGCTCGAGGCGCACATTGAGAAATGCACGGTTCGAGCCTGGGCCAGGTAAATTCACTAACCCACACACCCTCACTGCTTTTTTCTTGTTATCCTTTCGTATAGTGGAACGTTGTTACCTCAACCCTTGCACTAGGTGACACACCACTCAGGGAGGACCTGTGTGGCGAGAGCTTAATCTCTTTCATGGGAGTGGCTGAGGCACGACAAGGACAGACAAGAAGAGGAGACACAGTTGAAGGAGCAGATGGCAGGCAGAGTTGTTTTACGACATTCGGTGTAGCCGACCTAGTTGGGCACTACCTATCGTGTTCGTAGGCCGGCAGCTGTGTTTTCACCATGGTGGGCACCGTAGGTGATGCAAACGTAGTGGATACCTTGGAGACACGGCTGGCTCATGCGAGGAGACGCCACGCTGATGGCGAGTACGGGGAGACGCTCCCCTTGGAGGTCGTTGAGCTCGGCATCCGCGCAAAGTGGGCGACGGAGCACCCTTCTCGACCTGCCTCTCCTCGACCGGTGAACAACGAGGGCGGCGTCGACGTGGGCGTCAACGCCGGTGACCAAGTCGGCAACAGTTCGGGTGGCACGTCGAGGCAGAGAGGGGTGTTCCGGATGGCCGACGGTAAAGTCGGCGACGTTTAGGCGCGAGGGCTGCAGTCGTCGGCGGCTGCAGGCTCCTCATAAGGCGACGTCGGTGGATGTCGGGGCAGCGTGACGCCGACGTCGGCGACCCACGTGACTGCAAGTGGGATAGCGCCGACCTACGAGTACTTCAAGTTCACGCCGGACAAGATCGCGGTCAACCCCCCGCTGGTTGGTCGTCACGACCTGCTCACGTGGAAGGAATCCATCGAGCCCCAGCTGGAGATGGCCGGGCTGATGTGCTTCGCCAACCGCAATGTGGAGACGCCGCCGGAGAGCAATGCCGAGCTGCGCGCGGAGTTTCGCGCCGTGCAGCTGCTGACCTTCACGGTCATCTCGCGGTGCTGCTCACCGGTGGTTTAGATTGCTTTGAAGTCTTGCCGGCGTCACCTGGGCGCCGGCCATCAGGTGTTGCAGTTCATCACAACTACATACCAGGTCACTGACGACCTGTACATCGGCCAGTTGGAGGAGCAGATGACGCACCTGCGGATGGGCGAGCAGGAGACGGTGATTGACCACTGCAACTGAGCTCAACGTCTCCTTGCCTGCATGCGGATGGCCGGCGTCGAATACTCGACGGCGTCGTACATCGCGCACGTCATCAAGGGGCTCCCGAGCAGCTACAACCTGATGAAGCGATTGACGGTGGTGCCGGGCATGCGCGAGTCTCTCAACGAGGACTCGCTGACCTCGTACATCTTGAGGGATGAGGCAATGCAGGAGGTCGAGCAGTCCACAGAGCTCCTGCCAGAGGCGCACTACGCCGCCCCGACAACAAGGGGAAGTCAGCTAAGGACAGCGGTCGTGGAGGAGGAGGGCGACGCCGGAAATGTTGGCTGTGCGGCGACCTCGACCATCTCTCCTTCGAGTGCCCCGACCGCAGTGACTCCGACGACGACGCCAAGGGAGGCCGCGGGAGGTTGGCCAATTGTCGTTTACGTCGGGAAAGCAAGTCGCGCAAGGAGAAGTAGTCGAAAAAGTCGACCTCGGTGAAGGACGCTGACTCCTCCACAAGCGGCAAGGAGCGATGTGACAAGGAGGCGTCATGCTTGCTGGTCTGCGTCGTAGAGCCAACCGTCTCGCTGGCGCCGGAGGCCGGCGAGGACTTCCAGGCGGTGGCGGCAGCCGTGGTGGCGAACCCGGCAGTGTACCTCCTCGACAGCGGTTGCTCACACCACCTGATGGGGACGAAGGAGGCCTTCGTCGACTTGGAGCCAAGCGGTGACGTCAAGCACGTGCGCGACTTTAATGGGGCGCTGCAGGACGTTCGTGGCCGTGGCACCGTCGCTCTGCTAGGGGACACTAGGAAGCAGGTGCTCATCCCCGACGTGCTCTACGTCCCGGGCGTGCAGGCGACCTGCTTTCAGCTAACCAACTGAAGGAGAGCGGTGTGAAGCTGCAAGACGACAGCGACGGGATGCTGCTCGTTTCAGCGGCCGAGGACGTGCTTGGTCAAGCGAAGTACACCGGCCGGGTCCTCTGCACCGACTTATGCCCGTGCTCCGAGACGTCTGCGTCGATGCCGGCTGAGGTGGTGGCTCTGCGGACAATCACTACGGCGACAAAGTCGACGCCGGACAGGTGGCATGCGAAGCTCGCACACTGGCGTGGACATCAAGCCGTCGGCCGGCACCGACTCTCCGTGTGTCTTGTGCATCGGCGGGAAGCTGGCGCGACACACCTTCCCCGACAAGGGCTCGGACGCCAAGGACGCCCTGGCTATCGTGCACATCGATTTGTGCGTGATTGGCTGCGAAAGCACAACCCCATCATCGATTGGACAACGGGTTCGTGCAGCATCAGCAGGCACGAGGGGCTAATTAAACTGCCTGCATGGACACCTGACTACATCCAAGCCCCGTGTGTCAAGGCCATCACTCTAGCTCGCCACTTCAACCGAGGCGCGCAGCTGTACGCCGTATGTTTTGCGAGTTGCCAGACGACACCGACGGAAACGACATCGAGAAGTTGTGTGCAACTGTGCCACCTGATTTAGCGGAGCTGATTCGACAGTACCCCGACATCTTTCCCGACAATGTGCCACCTGGACTGCCACCAGAACGCCCCGAGGACCACAAAAACAAGTTGGAGCCCGGCGCGTAGTCGACTGTTCAGACACAGTGGCAGTTGAACCAGCCGGAACTCGAGGAGCTGCGAACGCAAATTGATGCACTGTTGGAGAAGGGGTTCATCCGCCCCAGTACATCTCCCTTCGCAGCGCCGATCCTGTTTACATCAAAGAGAGACGGCGGGCTTCGCATGTCCATTGAGTATCGTGCGCTCAACCGGGTGACCATCAAATCTCGCTACCCAATCCCACGCACCGACGACCTCCTCGATCAACTTCGCGGCGCTCGCTACTTCTCGAAAACCGACTTGCGTGGCAGTTACAATCAGATCCGGGTCTTCGCAGACGATTGTC